GCACCCCACATCTGCCTGCACCCTGTAGCTTTGGTGCTAACCATTGCATTTCGAGAAACACACCATTGACAATATCAATATAGTGAGAAGCATTTTCCAGACTCTGGGTTATAGAACACCAGCTCTGTGCGATGCAAATGAATTTAGGCATCGCTAGGATAACCAAAGCTAAGCGTGCGTTTTTACTGCGAGCAAGCGCGCGTTGTGAATTTCCAAAACAGGGAGAGAAGACGCATAGGCGGTGTTTGCCAAGGTCATTTAACTACAGAGGCTAGTCTCTTTTTGTTTGGATACTTGCTGCGATCTCACGGGACCAGCGATGTTTACACAGAACACAGATACGGAGGTACAGAGTGACCCTACTTAATAGCATACTACTCTTTTAATATCATTGCGATGCCACATCTGGTTTAATCTTCCTAAAGACCCTTTGAAGTTAGTCCTACCATCATCCTCACTTTACATAGAGGGGAACTGAGTCCCAGAAAATTGCCATCAGTCCCCCAAGGCCACACTGGCTGATTAAAACACAGGTCTCTGCGACTCTATGCTCTTCTTTCTCAATGTTCTACTGAAGCCCACAGTAACTGTTACATCAAGAAAGAGCTAGGAGCTGAATGAAGCAGGAGAGACAGCAGTGGGTTTGCTGAGCTTGGTGGTGACATTTTGAATGACGTTGTTGAGAACCATCACCAAGGCTCAGAGGGAGCAAACGTTGAGCAGCCCACATTTGTGTGAGGACAGGGGTGAGAAGCAGGAGCTGGTGGAATTTCAGACCACCCTTCCAAAGAGTTGGCGGTAAAGAAAGGGAAAGAGCAAAGATGGCTGGTGAAGGGGGAATTAGGGATGAGGGAAGCTGAGTAAGGATACAGGATACCAGAGCCTATCTACAGGCAGCGGGAGACAGGGGCTCACGAGCAAGGGGCTCCCAGGGCACTGTGGGATCAGCCCGGGGCCAGGCTTTAAGGCCCTCTTGGCTGTGCACAACTAGGAACCCCTCTTTCTCCCAAGCCAGCATCTGCTTGTCTGGAATCTACTCCTCCTTCAGATCAGGGGTGGTGTTAGGGAAAAGGTACTGCGATGCTGCTGAGTGGCCTCTGCATTCCAAATAGGATCTCGTCTTTGTCTGTATTTGGCCTTCTTTCGTCCCCTCAGCTAAAAGCATGTTTCCAAACATAGTCAGCTGTGAATAAATCCTTCAAGCCAAAACGAAAGCAGCAAATGTAAAACGCCTATGGAGACCATCCAGCTCCCAAGGCAGCATCTCCGAATGCGGAACTCTCTGCCCCAGTGGCGGAGCATTTGCAGGGTGAGGTGCCAATCCACAAAATCCAATTCCCACATGGGGGATGGCTCTTGGGGATCTTAGGGAAGGGCACTGGAATGCTCTCTGTTGCCCTGCTGTCTGTCTGCCTTAGAGAGTTAGAGGCCTGCACTTCATCTAGATTCTAAGCTAGGACAATTTGGTTTCACCTTGGGAAGGCCTCAAGCACGGCAGACTCCAAACCCTAGCCCACCAGCTTGGCCATCAAGCTCAGCCCTGAGCTGAGTGAGGCTGGAGTTCTATGTGGCCACCAGGACCAGGCTGTAGCTGGTGTCTCAGCCACCTAATGTCTGGACAATGGCCCTCCGAGTCTGGCAGCTGGCATCCTTGAGAGCCAGGTGGTAGGGAGACCTTGGCATACAGGGCAGCAAGGGTCTTCTGGTTCTGAAAGGCTGTCCAAGGCTCTGGCTCCAAGAGTCCACCTCCAGATACAGCTCCGTGGGCTACCCTGATCTGCTGCCTTCACTCTTGCCCCATGCATCTTTCAGCCTATCTTCATGAACTCACACTCCTGGCTCAAGGCCTATGCCATTCTCCTAACCTCTCCCAGCCTCTTCCAGCCCTCCCAGCCTCTCCCACCCTCTCCCAGCCTCTCCCATCCTCTCCCAGCCCTCCCAGCCTCTCCTAGCTCTCCCAGCCTCTCCCAGCCCTTCCAGCCTCTCCCACCCTCTCCCAGCCTCTTCCAGCCCTTCCAGCCTCTCCCACCCTCTCCCAGCCTCTCCCAGCTCTCCCAGCCTCTCCTAGCTCTCCCACCCTCTCCCAGCCTCTCCCAGCTCTCCCAACCCCTCCCACCCTGCAGCCCTGCGGGTGTCCTAGAGTGCCCAAGGCCTCTACCCCTGCCACCGGAACTTCTTGTGCCACTTCCCCCTGCGTGAGTCCATTGCTGCAGCTGAGTGGTCTAAGAAAGGTTTGCTATTCCAAAGACAGCCAAAAACATTTCACAGGCATTTTCTAACTGAACCACCTGAGAGGAAGCCATCACATTCTCCACAGCACGTGTGAGGAAACTGAGGACCTGCCTGGTAGCTTGCCAGCGGTCACACAGCAAGTGAGAAAGCACAGCCAGACGTCCACACTCCAGGGTGTGTGTATGAGTGTGAGTGTGTGTGTGTGTGTGTGTGTGTGTGTTATGTATTTTCCCTGAGAGTCACAATAGCTTCCACTCAAACTGCTGCAGATCTATAATTCCAGGCTTCCAGTAATATGAATATCTTTCTCTTTAGTAAAGTGAAATGTAGGTGAATGTAAGCTAAATTTACAAATAGAACTTCAACAAAAATGCTTAGAACAAGTAAAGCTCCAAAGACTCAGCGAAGCCTGTTATCTTTCCTAAGCGATCCTATATTGCTCTCCTCATCACGTGTCCTAACCTCCATCACTGCCCTGCGTGAGAAAGGTGTGATTGCATCCATTGCACTGGTTCTGTGAATCGCATGAGGGAGCAGGACAGACCCGAGGCCTGCACCCCGGACAAAATGTGGGCCACACACTCCGCTCCATGCTTTTCATGTTCTCTGTTTGCTCAATCCCGGAAGCAACCATGGAGAATAAGCAGTGCCGTCCTCTCCATTTTCCAGAAGCGTAGAGCAGTCAAATGACTGGCCCAAGATCACATGGCTTCTAAGTAGCAGAACTCCAACCGCAACGCAGGGAGTCTGGCTCCAGAGCCCATGCTTAGTGTAATAGAGCATCCCTGACATTCTGAATTATAATACATCTTGATGTCTTTTAGCTTCAGCCAGAAAACATTCTCCTTTCCTTATGCTTTGAGCCAGAAAAAATTCCCACATCTTCCAGCAACGGGTCCAGCACAGTCCTCTACCACCTGCTGGGGAGAATCAGCCCTCATGTGTGGCCAGGACCTCCACATGAACCCCAGTTGCATCTCATTCACCCTCACAACAGCCTTATGTGTTTGGTAGTGTTTCTCCACTTGACTGAGCAGGAAACTGAGGTTCAGAGAGGTTAAGCTACTTGCCCAAGGTTCCACGGCTCACAACCTGTGGATCAAGCCCTTGAATCCAGGCCCTCCTGAGGACTCCAAAGCTGATGATCTCTCCTGTTTACTCAGTGGGAGGTTTTAAATCAGAGCATTTAAAACATAGAAACAACAGACACTCCTTTATAATAGAAGAGTAGTTGAATAGAACCACACCGACATCCTCCTCATTTTCCCATAATCACACGCCCATTGGTGAGGTTCACTCTGCTTGGTTTAAAGCTGGGGTTACAAACTCAAATGTCCACAGGGACCAGCAGGCAATGAAGGAGTAGCACTGGCCTGGTGGGGGGTGTTACAGTAATTGTAACAGCCATGGCGGGCCTGCTGCACACTACAGAATGCACACCTGTCTTGGTGGAGGCAGCCTCGACTTTGCTGTAAGCCATTGTTGCCCTGCAGAGAGGCAGCACGGGCAGGCACTGCCAACCCATCCTGCTTTTCAAGAGTAGCCAAGAATCCCGATTTTTATGTAGAATCACTTAATTTTTAAATGATGGAAACTAATTCAAATGTTTCTTTAACCACTATTTAAACCAAACAAAACCCATCGTTTAGCTGGATTTAGCTTGAACTGTGCCTTTTTTTTTTTTTTTTTTAAGAGACGGTGTCTTGCTATGTTGCCCAGGCTGGAGTGCAGTGGCTATTGACAGGCACGATCCCACTACTGATCAGCACGGGAGTTTTGACCTGCTCCGTTTCCAATCTGGGCTGGCTCATCCCTCCTTAGGCAATCTGGTGGTTCCCCACTCCTGGGAGGTCACCATATTGATGCCAAACTTAGCATGGACACCCAATCAGCATAGCGCACTACAGCCCAGAACTCCTGGGCTCAAGCGGTCCTCCCACCTCAGCCTCCGGAGTAGCTGGGACTACAGGCCCATGCTACCACGCCCGGTGAATGGTGCCATTTTGTGATATCTGGTTTTAAAGTTTATAGAGGATATAAGTGTAGTTCATTTAAAGAAAGTCCCTTTAGTGTAAAATTATCAATTTAGTGTAAAATGTTCAAATGTTTCACTAACACAGTACAACCCAAACAAAACACATCTGGTTGCTAGATTCAGCTTGCAGGGTGCCATTTTGTGATGTCCAGCATTAAAATTTATAGAGGATAGAAATGTAGTTCACTTAGAGAAAGGTCAATTTAGTGTAAAAATTATCTGTGGAAATCAAGACAAGCCTCTGATACACATGCCAATTTGCTAATGAGAGTATTTCTCCCGGCAGCACTTGCTCTGAAAGAACACTTGGTTCAACAGAAGAAAAAAAAGCCCATTGTTGTCACCATCTCAGATCTGTTGGGTAGATACCACAGCCAAGTCCTGGCATGACCCCCCTGTCTGCAGTTAACAAATCTGTCATGTTGTGTGGCCACAAAATGATCTCCAGATTTCCTGTTATGCCAGTGAAGCACAGGAGAAAACAGACTCCCAGAAACCACTCCAAACGAATCACTCTCCCATCTCTGCTTGGTACCTTTGATAAGGACAAACCTCAATTTTCTCCTTCCTGTTTGGTTGGTGATCTGCTCCCAGTTGATATCTTTCTAAAATCTAAGATAAGGATGGTTCAACCCCCAAAGACCTTAGATTCGGTATCTACATCCGAACACCCCTTCAGTGCTAACCATCCATGGCCCATCCGCAGAGTTCCCTGAAGGAAGAAGGTGCTTACCAACAAGCCATTGGAGCCATGGACTGTGACACAGCGAGAGAATGTATGATGGATGGAGAGGTCCCTGATGTATGTGGGTGGGTCATAGCCTCCCCTTTCATCCACATCACCGGCCAGGTGGAAGTGAATCGGGTACTGACCCACCAGCTGCTGTCCCATATGCTTCAGCTCCATGCCCTCCAGGTGTGCTGCCTTGAATCCCAGAGCAAACTAGAAGAGAAGAACGGAGAGTGAGAGGAGACCATGAGATGCTTCTGGATTTCCCTGGCTGGTGCCCATATTCCAAAGATGCAGTGGTACTGTTCTTTATCAGTCCCCACTCGGTACTCAGTAAATCAAATATATTCTCTGCAAATGGACTAGAATGTCTGGCCCTTCTTATATTGAGGAAGACAGGCAAGGTGCTGCTAATGACAGAGGACACTGTGAGGAAATGGACTGCTTGGAAATGAGATGTTCTAAAGGGCTGTGCTATACCTGGGCTCACTTTGACCCTCCTTTCCTGTCTCCCAAGCCACTAAGTGTTATGAACAAGGGATAACTCTGAGATAACCTGGAGGGGCCAAAAGCATGCCCTATGAGCATGGGGGATCCAGAAGACAGTGGACCAAGGAGCGACAACAGTCTTGGCCATTGTCTCCCACCTAAGACCTTCTCCTGGCAGAGGAAAGGGGAATGCTGACTGTGGAATCTTCATGAGCCCATGTTCTGGTGGCATGTGTGTGAGTGGAGGGGACACCACACAATCACTTCACAATATGCCTAGAGCCATTCCTTTTGGGCTCAAGAAAACCACTTGACCAGACGGAACACCTGCCCTCCAGGTGCTCACCATGAAAGCACAGTCCGAAAAGGATTCCTGTCAAAAGTCAGGCTCAGCCAACCTCTAAGAGAGAAGAGTAATATTGGCATGCTAACCATTTCTTCCAAAAATCAGTGTCGATCGGAGTGCCAGCTCCAGTAGTGGCTGCCCTGGAGAGCTGTGTTGAGAATGATTCTGAGGGCTAGTTTGAGCTCAGTGGGAAAGAGTACCCTAATCACTCAGGAACTGCTCTTGGGATTGGAAAGGGGCTACGGCAGCTTGTATAATACAGACCTGCTGTTACTGCTTTAGTCTCACTAATGAGTTTCTCAGCTGAGGGACAGTACCATCACCTCTGCCCCACCCTATACCCAGCAGATGACTGGATATGTGTAGAAGTGTTTTGGTGGTGACAATGACTGAGGAGCACTGCTAGCATTGAATGAGTGGGGACCAGGGATGATGGAAATCCTATACAGGTATTGATCGACTTACGACCTATGCAACTTACGACCATTCGACTTTACGACCACAATCGCTAGCCACGACTGCTCCACGTCTGGCAGCGCAAACGTTGCCCAGCTGGGCGTACGACAGTGCGGACCAGCTTCCGGCAGCACTACCATCTCTGCGTGCATATAGCCTACTCAACTTACAACCAAATCGTGTTACGACCAGTCTGTCAGAACAAATTGTGGTCGTAAGTAGAGCACTAGCGGTAATATAGGCCTGTGTGGCAAAGAATGATCTCACATAAAATGCCAGTAGGGCGCCCATTGTGAACGCTGTAGGTTTCACTCCATTTGTCTCTTCAGTTATACTACCAAAAAGTCTTATCCTTAAAGTGCATGATGTTAGCTTTAAGAGAACTGTCTTCACAAAACTCTGAGATAATATTGTGCTATCGACATTGAAACCAATTACCACATGAAGCCATTTTGGGTCTCTTAAGGAACATAATACGCCAGGAAAAGGCACTTTGCACTGTGATACAAAAGAAATTCCTCTTGAGCTTCATACTAGGAAAACATAGGCACCAATAAACTAGTATCATTTTTCTCTATTGTGCAGTAAGAACCCTGCAGCTCACTATGTCTCCTCTGTCTTGACTCTAACCAGGAAACTCACAGGTAAATTCAATGCTACAACTTTTTTTTTTTTTCTTTTTGAGACTGAGCCTCCCTCTGTCACCAGGCTGGAGTGCAGTGGGGCGATCTTAGCTCACTGCAACCTCCACCTCCTGGGTTCAAGCAATTCTTGGGCCTCAGCCTCCAAGTAGCTAGGATTATAAGCATGTGCCATCACACCCAGCTAATTTTTGTATTTTTAGTAGAGACAGGGTTTCACCATGTTGGCCAGGATGGTCTCAATCTCCCGACCTCATGATCTGCCCACCTCAGCCTCCCAAAGTGCTGGGATTACAGGCGTAAGCCACCGCGCCTGGCCAATGCTACAACTTCTAGGTCCTCTCACCTGCTTATTGTTTTATCTATACGGTAATGGATCTATTATAAACGTGACTTTTTGCAAGATGAATGCTAGTTCTTTTAGGAAGTGATCAGAGCAATAATGAATAATGAAATAATGAAGACAAGGAATGAAGGCAATGTTGAAACAGTGTGACGTGTACCATGTGGCCAAGAGCAGAGAGCTATTTGTTGCCAAGTTAGCGGTATCATCTCTCTTATTGTTAATGATTAGTGGGGGGAAACTGCACGCCAATGGGTAATACATAGACTCCTCAAACTTCCAGAAGGTGCCCTCCACTTGATCCCACCTCCTGTTCCCTCATCCCCATCCCTACCAGGAAGCCCTGCCTAGAGGGTGACATCATGGAGCCTCTCCTAGTTGGGTTGACAGCCTCTGCCAGACACACACATACCTTGATATGGCCCCCAAAGGTATCAAAGTCAAAGAAATTGCAGATGTGGTTTCTGTAGGGGTAGCACTTGTCTTCCATCTCCCCCATCACCATGATGTTCCGGCTCAGAAGCCCGACCTCCGCCCGCATGTCCACGCCATCGATCTCCTCCCCGATGTGCAGGTACATTGGTTTCCCTAGGGCAGAAAGAGGCAGGTAAACGACAGCAGATCCCGCATGCCCACTGAGTTCCAGCCAGCTGCTTCCATGGCTGCTGCTTGCTCACCACCAGGCCCGGTGTACGCAGTGGTCTCATGTTACAGAAGGATGAAGGTCAGGGAGGTGAAGGCACACGCCCGCACGCCCAGCCAGATCTCACAGCTACACAGGCTCCAGTCTCAAGCCCTTGGCAGAAATGGCTAACTGTCCCTTCATATTTGTTTCCTCTTCTGCTTTTCAGTCCTGGACTCCTGCATCTTAGCTGGACACAGGGCCATCCAAGGGAATGACATTCTCAGCCTCCCTGCAGTCAGGTGCGGCTGTAAGATGTGAGAAGTGGTAAGCGCCACCTCCAGACGTCCCTCCTCTTGCTCTTTCCTGGGAGCTGGTGGGTCAGCCTCACCCACACAGGTAAGAGCCATGCCCCAGGGACAGCAGAGCAACAGGAGGGAAGAAACTGGTCTCCAGATGAGACTGCAGATTGCTGACCTTAGGAAGATAAAACAGATCCCCGGTCTTTAAAGCCTCTGCTTTAGAGCAGTGCAAATTCACGATCTGTTAAGGCAGGTAAATCCCTATTCTGCTTACCTCAGCCTCATGCAGAATGTGTATCTACAGCCTGGGGCTCTAGAAAGAGCCAGACTGGAGCTTCCACATTCACCACCGTGGCCTGGCTCTGCATGCCTCCATGGTACCACGTAGAGCAGTGGAGAAGAGCCTCCACCCTACTCTGTACTGAGCTCCTCACCATCCTCCGTCCTCCCTCTGGCCTCAGAGGACAGGATGCTCCCTCCACTTGTGCACTGGCCCCCAGGCCACCCCTTTTCCTGTCCTTAAGGCCCTGGACTCCCTCCACTAGCAATTTCATTTCTTCCTTCATTTGGGCTCCTTATATTCTGCCTTCAAACTTCTCTAGACTTTCCCATCCTTAAAAAACTAACATACATACAAAAGACCTTTTCCAGTTCTGCTACCCTGCCTAGCAATTGCGAGTCTCTCGCCTGCCATACCCAGAGACCCCGAACTTGTGATCTGCCTCTAACCCCTCCATTTTCTCTCCACTCTCCCCCTCCCACCACTCCACCCAATCTCTTGCCAAATGCAGTCCCTTCCTCCCTGCTCTGTGCAGAAAATGCATCTCAAAAATGCTGCAGGGTGACGAGAGTTCAAACTTTAGAACTGCTTTTGATTTACAGCCCCAAATCCTTTCTCCACAACAATCCCACATGCTTTTATGGAATAAGGAGATCTTAAGCGAGCTCTAAATTCATTTGGCTCGTCACTGAGATTGCTGACCTGGCTTATGGATGCTTTCTCTTCCATTTGAGGATGAATTACAGACAGCAATAACCTCCTATTCCTAGCCTGAACCACACTACCTCACCTCTTGGCTTTCACTATGATCTTGACTGAGCAATGGGGCCCCGGCCTCAGCCCCCAGACACAGCCAGTGTCCACATGTGAAGTCCACAGTTATAATTAGCCCCGAGCAACACCCACCATGGTGGCACTGCCCTGCTGTCTTCTCCGCAGGAAGAGCTGACCCTTGCCTGCCCCTTCACCCGGCACGTCCTGTGTGCCTGCAGTGCTTCTAGGGATGTTTACTGTTTTGGAATTCTGCAGACTCAGCGAGATGGTGGGTGTTCTCTGAAGTATCTTATTCAAGATGTGAAATTGACTCATGGCAAATTTGAGAAAATATCTCCTGTGGAGTTGGTATCAGTTTCCTACCACTGCTGTAACAAATCACCGCAAACTTAGTGGCTTAAAACAACATAAATTTATAGCCCTGAGAGTCGCAATTCTGAAATGAGTCTTATGGGGCTAAATCAAGGTGTCAACAGGGCTGGTTCCCTGAGGAGGCTCCAGAGGAGTATCTGCTCCTTGCCCTTTGCAGATTTGAGGGGCCACCTGTGTTCCTTGGCTCATGGCCCCTTCGGTCCGCTTTAACGCACCTCACTTCAGTCGCTGCCCCATCACCACGTCACTCTCTTCTGACCCTGACCTTCCTGTGTCCCTCTTATAAGGCCCCTCGTGACCACACTGGGCCCACCCAGATAATCCAGGATAAGCTCCTATCTCCAGAGCCTTAACTCATTACATCTACAAAGTCCCTTTTACCACATAAGCTAACATTCAGGGGTACTGAAGATCAGGACACGCATATTATTTAGGGGTCCTTATTCCATCTATCACAGAGTCCTCCTGTTCTCAGATACTGGGTTGGGTCTTGACCTGTCACCCAGGCTGGAGTGCAGTGGTGTGATCATAGCTCACTGTAGTCTTGAACTCCCAGGCTCAGAAAATCCTCCTGCCTGGGATCCCCAAATGCTGGGACTACAAGTGGGTGCTACCACACCCAGCACAGAGTCCTTCTTTAAACAAGTATCAGACATCAAAAAAGCCTTAGAAAGATTTCATTTACTGCAATGTACTCTCACTCCCTGATAGGCAGATGCCATAAAGGTCTGTGCCCTGCAAAAGGGGTGAGGAGTGGACACCACACGTGGAAGCTGTCAGGCCTTTGGTTTCATCCAAGGTTCTGACACCAACCAGGGGAAATGATATGAAATGAGTTAACTCTGCAGAATGTGGGAGCTCCTTCCTCCAGGGTATCCCACTGAACGTGGCTTCACATTTATGCTACAGGGCCACGTGTCTTCGCAGTTCTGAGATCCAGAAGCAGGGCTCCTGCTGGCCATCCATGGAAAAACCTCTCCTTTCATCTCTGACTCATCTCCCATCCATCGGCTCTGTGGTCTTCAGTCATGGAGCCTTCCCAGGTGTGGGGGAGCAGAATCTTTCCGAAAAAGAACTTTGCACTGGCTTCTGAGTGACGAGTGCCTCAGGGGAACCAGACAGAGGGCTGGACCTGCAGAATGTCTGATGAGAAGAGAGACTCACAAGTCCAGTGAAGGATTCACTGAAGGACATACTGAAATGGATTATAATCAGATCTAATTATGAGGAACCCGATACAGAAGGGCTTTTGCAGTCACTTAATTTTCCATTTGAGGAAATGGAAGGTCAGAGTGTGCTCAGGGCCTGATGGTGAGTGGGGAGGAGAATGTGGGCCCACAGCTGACACGGGGTCTGGGCTGTTTCTCTTCACCCCTAGATCCTGGCTCTGTGACGGAGTAAGCGCCGTGGGACTGCGGGACCTTTCCCACAAAGGCAACCTTCAACACAATGCCTCCACCTGTGACTCGATGGGCATGCCCCATGAGAGCGTGAGTCCTGTCTTTCCGAAGCCTCTTTACTGTCCACGCACCCTGGCCTCTTCCTCCAAGGACTGACGCATCACCTCATTCCCACGTACAGGTCTTCTCTCCGGCAGCCACAGGAGTGTCCTGCTCTGATTTCTCTTGGAGGGGGCCTGCCGCCACGTGGGTGAGCGGACAGCCTCCAGCAGCACCTTCAGGATCCACGTGCGTTTTCCCCGGTGAGTGAGCTCCACAGAGGTACTAGAGTCTAGAGTCAGGCCCTTCCTGCCCCGGGTGAGACGCCCCCAGCAGGCAGCCTTTGCTCCCCAGCTTCCCATTGGCCACTCAAGCTTTCTTAGAGCCACACTGCAGTCTGAGCTCCTTCCTCCGAATCATCCTTCCTTCCTCTCCCCTCCCAGGCTTCAGACCTGCATTTGAAGGTCTGAAGGAAGGATGGAAAGGTGAAGGAGCTCCTCACAGCCTGCAGGCTCCCTCTGCTACTCCTGCCCCTCTCTCCTGGGTCCTACACGCCGTCTATCACCTGCACATCGAAATCTGCCTGGACACATCTTCCTCCTTTGCTTTTTCCTCACCTGTGGAAGAGCTTGAGGATCAACACAGAGACCAAACGATTTTTGGCACCCTCTGCTTCCCTGTCTTTCTTTCTTTTCTTTTTTTTTTTTTAATAAAGACGGGGTTTCACCATGTTGGTCAGGCTGGTCTTGAACTCCCGACCTCAGGTCATCCACCCGCCTTGGCCTCCAAAGTGCTTGGATTACAGGTGTGAGCCACCACGCCCGGCCTTCCCTGTTTTTCCTACTCTCCCAAACTACCCCAGGTCAAGATGCTCCCTGCAGACAAACAGGACAGTAAAAATGGGCCCTTCTTTTCAGGGAGCTGGAGTATCTTTCCCTTAGGCCTTGCAGGAGCCTGGGTTTCCAGGCCCTACACCTCCAGCCACGCTGGATCTGGAAGTTCCTTTGTTTGCTAGTGGACGCCCCCGTGGACGGCTGTGTCTGTACCCAGAAACTCCCAGAGGCTTTCCAACCAAGTGGGGCTGGCTTGGGCTGTTCTTAGGGTGCAAAGGAAGAACTGCCAGTGCCCTAGAGGCATCTTACAGCAGCCCACGAACTTACCAAGCGACGGGGAGCCCCAGGGGTGGGTCCTGAGAGCACAGGGCGAACTTTGCAAAGGGAAGCAAGCAGACTTCCCAAACTCCCCAAAGGGTTGAGCATGTTGAGGGAAACGTTGCGCAGAGAGCAGGAGGCTCAGTCCTGCCAGGCAGGGGATGGCGAGGAGGTCTCCATGCAAAACTCAGCTCCCTGCGTACCAGTTTAAGGGACGGACACAGCCAAACGCCCAGCTCCTGTGGGTTCGTCTCTCCCCACTCCCACACACCGTCTTCTGTTCCAGCCAGACCGGACCCTCATCCTTCCTTGGACATGCCAGAGCTTTCACCCGTGTGCCTCCCTCCACCTGCGGCAGCTTTCTCCACTTTTCCCTCAAGATCCAGCTCGTTTCTCTCTCTCAGCGATGCCCTCTCTGACCACAGTCAGCATTAGCCGTATCTTCTGCGAGTTCCCACAGTGCTTGGCAGAGCCAAGAAACCAGCCAAGCCTCCACACCTCCAGGACGCTCATCCCTTGCCTTCCAACCATCCCTCACAGCACATGTATCCGGGTGCTCTGGGTACTTCTCTCAGCTTGCCAGCATCCACCTTAAAACATGGTGTCCAGGGGCTGGGTGTGGTGCCTCACGCCTGTAATCCCAGCACT